CAAAGATGAATTATGTAAGATTTAGATAAAGAGCTGTCAGATTTATTTATTCGCAGCTAAAGTATGGTGGACTTTTCGATTAATCTTCATTTAATTCCATCTATCAAAAATTGTTTTACGTACATTGGACCTCGGTTTTCTGTCTAATCCGAACTACTTGTCAGACCCTTGGGTGTTACCTCTGTGCCTGAATAATCCCATGATTAGAATTGGACCCACGCCAAGAATCTTTTGGGCCCGCGCCAAGACTTGAATTCTGACCACGCTAAGACTCGAACTCAGAACACGCCAAGACTGTGTGTGAAATAGCTTTATTTAACGTCCGCTTCCACCGAAGTGATATCGCTGACAAAAGCCAAGACTGTTGTTGTTTTTAGTGTTTAACGTCCGCTTCCGCTGAGGGTGATATCACATTCTATCGCGTAGGGGGTCTTTCCTGTGGGAGGAAACCGGAGGACCCCGAGTAAACCCATAAGGTTGAGAAGGCGCTCCTATCTCCATGCCACATACTCTCACAACAGGTATCGAAACCACAACCGTCAGCCAGAGGTGACCAGACAACTAGAGCTCGAAGCGCGACACTTAAGACCACTAGGCCATCCGAAACTACCTCCAACTGAGAACCACGGTGACTAGGTGGTTAAGACGCTTGCTCGCTAGCCTGGAGGTCGGGTGTTCGATCCCTGCATTGGCCGAGAAAGTTCATCCAGATTTTCCGACGTGGTTTCCCCTTGTCAGTGGTGCAGAACGGAGGGCCAGATACGGACAGCTGTCTAGTCATTCGGATGAGACGAAAAACCGAGGTCCCGTGTATACATTGGAATGCACCTAAAAAATCCCTTGGCAGTTGGAATTCGATATAAGAGTAGGCGATAGTGCCGCTGCCCGGGCAAAATTTACCTCATAGCACACTGTATGGCGTATGCCTGTTTTCATTAGCCCAGTATAGGAGCAGAACAGCAGGACGTAAAACCCCATTTCATTTCATTTCCAAATGAGAACGTTTTATACGAGGGTCCAGTACTATTACTGCGCAAAACCCGCTTATCCGGAACAGACGGAGCCTGACATCTGGTGCCGAATAGAATAGGGTTTAATGCTATTCCAGGTAGGAGAGGGTTTTGCCCACGTATCGTCTAATCCTAATGGCCAAATGTATACTGGAACACCGGGGTTTGGCGTACTGAAAAAAACCTTTGAGAGAGAGAGAGAGAGAGAGGGGAGAGAGAGAGAGACCTTGGCAGATTGTATTCGGAGACGAATTAGCCGAACGCCACCGCCTGGGGAAAATTTAACCTGTCAAATGACACATAACGGCTGAAGTAAAAGTGATCATAATATATTAATGGGCACAAATGGGTCCCAACGCAATTAACACTACAATATGAATGTATATAAACTGATTTACATTTAATCGTTTCTGTTTTTACTCTAATTTCTAATCCGTTATGTTCTGCGAAATACACGAAGAGTTCAAATTCAATGAAAGTCTTTGACGTCTGGCTATTCCATTCTACACCGGTAGTATTTTCCTATACGGTATGTTTAGCCTCGTTTATCGAATCGCTTCATTACAAATGGGGTGCTTGAAAGCATTCCGGCACGCGATTCGTGTGCCGATATTAAAACTTTCACTTTGTCTTAAATATTGCATATTATGCAGAAGCCCATCTTTCACGGAAAGATCACAACATCAATGTTGATTTAAATTGACCATTAAGTCTGGTTTGAAATGTCGAATACTGCGGATGATATTGAGTTAAAGACTTGCCTCCTTTAATATTGTGTTAAAACGCATTCCATTTCATTTTATGGCATCAATTAAATTATCCACGAATGCTTTGAAGCACGCGTTCTTCATCTTTAAAGTGAATTATTACAGTTCTTGATTGACACGTAATCAAAATTCGTGATGAAAAACAATCCTTTATGTCGGGATTTTATGGCTTTATTTCAAAATAATATGCTGGGGCGGACGATATATTTACTACGGATTCATATAGAAAGCACAAACACAATTCATCTCTGGACAGAGAGAGAGAGAGAGAGAGAAATGGGGTTTAACGTCCACTCGACACAAACTAGGTCATTTCGGGACTAACATATGGTTTTTAATTTTATTTCAATAATTCGCTTGCGCGCAGGGATCTTTAGCAGTGGGAGGAAAACGGAGGACCCGGAGAAAACCCACGAGGTTGGACAGGCGACCCTACTCCTTGTGACGTACAACCGGGGATTCGAAACCACGCCAGTTGACTCAATGACAGGCTGTATGATACAGGGCGCAGCGGGCACATGCTAACCATTCGGCCATCCAACCCCCCAGAGAGAGAGAGAGAGAGAGAGAGAGAGAGAGAGAGAGAGTAGTAGTAGTAGTGTAGTTTAAAGCCCAAGCTTGTACGTGACAAGGATCATGGTCGACTGCCCAACATCCGTATTCCCCCCGCTACCAAAACCCCTCACGTAACATAATGGTAGTTCCGAAATGACTTAGTGCATGCTTATAATTCTGACCAGCCCTTCATAATAATTTTTTTTTTTTAATTCAAGTCTATAAATGTCATTTAAAAAATTACAAATCCCGGTCTGCCTGCTTGTCCGCCCACCCCCTCTCCTGTCCACTTGTCTGGTGACAATGCAGGATCGAGGGTTAGAATGAATAGTATAAGAGTATGCTCATTACATAACTACTGTTGTGAGGAAGCAGGAAATTCGAGAAATTGCGATCTGAAGATATTTGTTTTAAGATTAGCATGTCAGTATTCCAGAATCTTCTATTAACAAGATCATTACGTCAAGATTTGGGGGATTTTTAAACAATTATTCCAGGATCTTGTAAAATATTCTGTTTAAATTATATTTATAGTTAACTCTCACTTTATTTAGTTTCAGAATGTAGCACCATGGGCCTTTATGTCAGACGTGGAGAGCGGGGAACCCAACCCGGTCACCACATCCTACGTACGACCCATGCATCTTTTCTTACTACACGTCAATATTCCGGGATCTACTATTAACAATATCATTACAGCAAGAATTGGGAGGGGGGGTGCTTAAACAATTATTCCAGGATCTCGTAAAATATTCTGATCAAAAGATGTTTTTTTTAAAAAAATATATTTATAGTAGACTCGCACTTTATTTAGTTTCAGAATTCCTTTCCATAACATAAATATTTTGTTATTATCATCCAAATTAGATTCTGTGGCCATCAGAAATATCTTGTTGTTATTCTTCTTGAAATTCTGAGGCCATCATGAGTAAGAAAGCTTTGTGATTGACCACGGTGAGTTGACAAAGGAATATTATCTGTAAGGACGTTTGTATGAGCAGGCCATCAAAGTGCGGCTTTTAACCAACGGTACATAAAAGATACTAACACTGTTATAAATGGTAAAATGTAGATGAATACCCTGGAGACAAATAGAATCCGACTTAGAGGCTAATTAAAGATATACTGACTGGACAGTCGGAGATGTAATATATAATCACCTATTGGTAAATATGGTCATACTGCAGAAAATAATAGGTGGTGCTAAGACACAAGATCGTATGGTATACTTCAAATATATTACCGGAAATGACAATGCTAATACACGAGATCGTACGGGATACTGTAATGGGGATATAATTCATGCATTTATTCATTCGTTCCTTTATTAATTCATTCATTCATTTAATGTCCAATGTGTTGTTTTAATAACTTATTTAAATTTCAATAAATTTCTTTTAATACCGATTATACCTGAAGCCATTGTAACTTGGTAACCGATGGTGGACAGCCAACTCATTAATAGTTTAGACTGTATGATACGGTTAATCCTTAATATTTTTATTATATGTAATTAGTATCTTTAATGTTTTATTAACTGTGTATATTTAATTTAATCCTTAGATACGAGCTTCTTTAAATACCGAATTGTACATTCATTCAGGATTCTAGGTTTTATCCCGTTTCCATGACCGTCACTCTGCCTGTCGGTCGTGCTGTTCTGTGTATATGATATTTTATGTTTTCCGGTATTAAACAGTTTAAAGGATAACTCCAGTGTGTATCTTATTACCGAAGATGTACACAGTTACAATACTTTAAAAATGAATTAAATTTATACGATGCTTTATTTCGATTACTATAGAAATGTTGGTTGGATATGTGAAATATTTGGCTTAGCTATAGAGACGCTGTTTCTTCAGCTATAGAGACGCACTTTCTTCAGTATAGAGACACACTTTCTTCAGCTATAGAGACGCACTTTCTTCAGCTATAGAGACTCTGTTTCTTCAGCCCTAGAAACACCGTTTCCTCAGCTACAGCGAAACCGTTTCTTCAGCTATAGAGACACCGTTTCTTCAGCTATAGAGACACTGTTTCTTCAGCCCTAGAAACACCGTTTCCTCAGCTACAGAGAAACCATTTCTTCAGCTATAGAGACACTGTTTCTTCAGCTATAGAGACACTGTTGGGCCAGCTATAGAGACGCCGTGTCTTCAGCTATAGAGACACCGTTTTTGCAGCTATAGACACACCATTTTTGCAGCTATAGACACACTGTTTCTCCAGCTAAAGAGACGCGGTTTTGTCAGATATAGACACCGGTTCTTCAACAATAGAGGCACCGTTTCTTCAGCTATAGAGACACCGTTTCTTCAACTATAGAGACACCATTTCTTCAACTATAAAGACACCGTTTCGTCAGCTATAGACACGATTCCTTCAGCTATAGGGACGCGGTTCTTCAGCTATAGAGATGGTGTTTCTTCAGCTGTAGGGACACTGCTTCTCCTAGGGTGGCATGAACATGTATAGGAAGTTCATAGATTGTCTGGTCATTAGACCATGAGCTAATATATTTATTGTTATACATAAATACTGTATATTTGGTCATTAGACCCTGGAATAATGTATTTATTCTAATAGCGGCGACTATTTATTTTTACCATTATATAGTACATGTTCATTATATTTACAATATCGTATATTATTTATTGTTATATATATATATATATATATATATATATATATAGCGACTAGCATATTCTCTTGTCTACACAAATCTATAGCATATTCTATTTACAAAGCCCGGTTGTACGTGACAAGGAATAGGGTCGCCTGTCCAACCTCCTGGGTTTTCTCCAGGTCCTCCGGTTTCCCCCCACTGCTAAAGACCACTACGCGCAAGCGAATTATTGAAATAAAATTGAACTATTGTACATGTTAGTTCCGAAATGACCTAGTTTGTGTCGAGTGGACGTTAAACCCAATTTCTCTCTCTCGGTCTCTCTCTTTACAAAGATTTACGATATTATTAAATGACTAAGTCTAATGAGAATTACAATTTTTGTTTCACCTTTTTTTTGTCATAGTTTAAAATAGGCAATCCTTTTGGGGGGCCTAATTTAGACATGGTGGCACCGTACACTAAGAATATTTATTTGGCTATCAGAGCATCAGCATGCTTAATAGTTTTGCAGTATGGTAGTTAAAAACAGGTCAGCGCAATAATCATAAATGATTAATTCAAATAGACTTGTACCATTGTTCCCAGCTGTCCCTTCAGTCTGTACGGCACCAAGATATAGGCTAACCCCGACCTTGGCTCTCACAACATCTTTAAGGCGTTTAGCTGCTTCTGATCTGTATAAGGTTGTTGTAAATGGTTCTTGACCAAACATGATTTAAAACATTCATTAAAAATGGATTTAAAACGAACACACTATCATTATAAGGAATTATTAGAATGATAAACACATGGGAACTATTCTCCTTTTGTTGTGGATTGTTTCTCTTATTGCTTTGATTCAAGCCTATATCATTACGGACCCGAGACTGTGCAGATAGAAGACTCTTATGGCAGGACATTCACTTGTGTTTGTCATATTGTAGTGCGGTCCTCCTGTACTTACTGTTAAATCATGTAGACTGGATAATCTGCCCTAAGTGACGTCGAGAAAGGGTGTGACGTAGGAGTGGCTCTCGATAACGCCAATCTGTACACATCCGGAATAGGAAGCGCCGACTTATTTAAGTATGTTATCTGGTGGGAGAACCTTAGATCGAAGACGGTCTAACACAAATGTGAATTGTGTTTTTGGGTTAGGATATGGGTAAGGCTTAGGGTTAGGGTTAGCGCTAGCCCCGTTTCCATCTCGAGACCTTGACGAAATTTGCAGCCCTAATCCTTACCCTAACCCACAATCCATATATGACGTCATATGTTCTAGACCGTCTCCGATCTAGTTTTCTACTATCTGGTGTCTAATTTGTATAAACCATTCAAAAAAAAATATATAAACCGAAACGAAATTTAAAATCCCATTTCAATTCCTATTAGCCGAAGTTTAGTTATTTGCACTTTAATTTTCTGTTCATTCTGTAAAGTTTGGGTTCATAACGAGATTTATAGCGTCTTACGTAGCTCTCGGGTGTAACAGAAAGTCTGATTTCTCTACGATGCACGGAACTGAATTTCCCCATCACCAAAAATTCACCATTAATCTTTAATCTTGGACATTTACAAACATTCGGAACCCACAAATATTCTCGCTGCATTAAAGACAATCCCTTTTTATAACTTTTGATGATGCTGACGTCATATCTGGTTTCGCCATTAATTATCTCAGCACCCAGGATACGTACTCGTGACACTGAAACATAAAAAACGGAAGTGACGTAATATGGTTAAAATGAAGTAAAAAAAAGACGTATGTGACGTATTTCAATAAATGAGGGTTAGATCTATTTCATAAGACAAACTCCAAGTTTGGTCCAAGGTCACGACATGTAAACAGGCCTTGCGCTAATCTCATCCCTAAGCCTAACCCTGGACAGAGCCCTAACGCTTACCCTGACCGACAAACTCGTGAACAATCACGTGCCCTAACCGTTTTTACATCTCTGCGACCTTGACGAAATCTTGAGTTGGCCTCAGGAAATAGATCTAGTCAAAAATGAGGCTTCCTAGAAGGGATAATGGTAAAATAAAAAAGTACGACAACTTTTGTTGGCTATTTAACTATTCAAAATAGAAGTGGTTCTGAGAGAGCTGTAATCAGACCCTCCCTCGTGTATCACTCAATACATAGCTACAGGGGGGATATATCATATTTCATCATTGTGGTGGCAATTTGAAGCCCTAAGGACCAACGTGGTGGAAATAAAAATGAAATGGATTTTAACGTCCTATTTCTTTAACCCCAGCTGAGCTAATGAAGATGGGCGTACACCATACAGTGTGCTACGAGGGAAATTATTCCAGAACAGCGACACAGCGGCAATCTTGTATCGAATTCCAACTTTGAAGAGCTCTTTTACATGCACACCAACGTCTACACAGGACCAAAGTTTTTCGTCCCATCCGAAAGACTAGATGTTGTCCCTCCCCTCAACCCTGTAGCACTGACAAGGGAAATCCACACTGGAAATTCACGATGAACTTTTTCGGCCAATGCAGTGATCGAACCCCGGACTTCTGGGTTAATGAGCCATGTGGCTTACTCATCACTGCTCCCCAGCTTGGTAGGGAGCACGGTGGCTCAATGAGTAAGGCGTTGGCTTGCTAACCTGGAGGTCCCGTGTTGGATCCCGGAGCTGATCGAGAGAGTTCATCGATGTGCACGTAAAAGAGGCCTTCAAAGTTGAAATTCGATCAAAGGCGGTCGTAATGCCGGTGTACGTTAAAATTTTCTCTCATAACACACTGTATGGCGTACACCTGTCTTTATTAGCCCAGTCGGAGCAGAACAGAAGGACGTTAAACCCATTTCATTTCGTTTCCAACTTGGTAGGCATGCGACTTTACTCCTGGCCAGGTACATACATAGGACAGAGCCCACAACAACAGCTCAAGACACACTGAAGATCAACATCTCAGTAGTAGCACTAACAGCAACCCAAGACACACTGAAGATCAACATCTCAGTAGTAGCACTAACAGCAACCCAAGACACACTGAAGATCAACATCTCAGTAGTGGCACTAACAGCAACCCAAGACACACTGAAGATCAACATCTCAGTAGTGGCACTAACAGCAACCCAAGACACACTGAAGATCAACATCTCAATAATGGCACTTATTGGGTAGGCATTGGCAACAAGTCGGTTTCCTTCCATTTATTATTCTAAAGTTAAATAACAAGCTTACCAAAGTCACTTTTACAGAATTGAGCTTTTCTATCTTTCACTTTTGGATATTTTCTACAATTTTCTGGAAAACAAGAATAAAAAGGGTAGGTGATTTGATAATAATTATAAGTTGTCACTTGTAAATAAAATAAATTCCAGGACTTCACAGCTCAGAATGGATTCATTCATCTTGTAGCCTCAATTATTTCCAAATGTCTTTCTGTAGTTCAGTACCAGAGAACTCATCAACAGTTTATTATTAGTATAAATCTCTGAGTATGGACACTATATTTATACGTATTATATATTTCATATCGGTTTTACGTTTTATCAAATCAGGTCCACTGAGTATAGACATGGTTAGGTCTATTTGATAAGGCCAACTTCAAGTTTGGTCAAAGATCACGAGATGTAAACACTGTAACCTGGGTATCATTTAATCTTGTGTATCTAGCGCTCATTTCTTTCACATTCGTTTAATATCAAATTTTGTTTTAACATTCGTAAAAATCATTTAAACTCACTCGAAATCATTTAATTTGTCCAGTTCAAAGCTGACTGATTAAGTTTGATAATGAATGTCAAATTTACAAGTATTTAATTTCCTGACCACTGTTCAAAAATTAATCATTATACATCAATAGTCAATTGAGTTGCTTGGTTTTTTTTTAACAGGGATCGAGAAATTAAACGCTTGCAAATTGGACACTCATTATCAAAATTGATCGAGAAATTAAACGCTGGCAAATTGGACACTCATTATCAAAACTGAATGGTCAGCTTTAAACTGTACACAAGTACAAATTCGATGATTTTTGGTGATTTTAAACGATTTTTACGAATTTTTAAACAAAGATTTGACATTGAATGAATGTGTAAGAAATTAGTGCTAAATACACACGTGAAACCTGACTAGCGCTAACTCTAACCCTGGACATAACCCCAAAGCTTACTGTAACCCTAACCTACAATCTCGCCAACAATCACGTGCCCTAACCTTATTTACATCTCAGCGACCTTGACTAAAATTGAGCTGGCTTTAACAAATAGATTGCATGGACATTGTATTCTTACATATGTTATATCGGTTTTATTTAGTATTATTCGGCCTGCTGAGTATCAACATCGATATGATGCTTAATATAGTTTGTTTTGTTCCAAAACAATTGTAAGGGGACGGAACCAAGCCGTTACTAAACAAAACCGATTACTGAATCAAACCGGTTAACGGGTCATACCGGTTACCTTGTCAAACTGGGAGTCAAACCGGTTACCTAGCTATAGTCAAACTGGTTACCGAGTCCAAAAGGTAACCGAGTCAAACTAGTTTCCTAGTCAAACTGTTTACTAAGTCAAACCGAGAACTGGATTGTACAATGATACCGCGCCTAATCCACGAAATGTAAAAGAGGTGAGCTAATACAAAGCCATTGAACGGACGAGTTAACACCAAAAGTAGGAGAATTCATTCCTTGTTAAGATATAAGACTGGATAATGAGACGTACTTCCGGGTAAATTACTGAACAACCTAGTGGAGAAGGCCACATAGGTTTCAATCCAGCGGAGCTGGTGTTGTCGGAAGATTTAGTCACACGATCTGTTTGACTGTTGGGTCGGTAGGGCTTAGTGTGGTATTTTTCGGAGCTGTACTTCGGTATAGTGGAGAGGGGGGGGGGGCGAATGGTTAGTGCGTGTGCGTTCTATCATAAGGTCTGTCATTGAGTCAACTGTCGTGGTTTCGATTCCTCGGTTGTACGTGACAAGGAGTTGTGTGCGTTCTATCATAAGGTCTGCCATTGAGTCAACTGGCGTGGTTTCGATTCCTCGGCTGTACGTGACAAGGAGTTGTGTGCGTTCTATCATAAGGTCTGCCATTGAGTCAACTGGCGTGGTTTCGATTCCTCGGCTGTACGTGACAAGGAGTTGTTTGCGTTCTATCATAAGGTCTGTCATTGAGTCAACTGCCGTGGGTTCGATTCCTCGGTTGTACGTGACAAGGAGTTGTGTGCGTTCTATCATAAGGTCTGCCATTGAGTCAACTGGCGTGGTTTCGATTCCTCGGTTGTACGTGACAAGGAATTGGGTCGCCTGTCCAACCTCGTGGGTTTTCTCCGGGTCTTCCGGTTTCCTCCCACTGCTAAAGACCATATGTTCGTCCCGAAATGATCTGCTTTGTGTTGAGTGAACGTTAAACCCCATTTCTCTCTCTCTCTAGTTCAGCACATTTTGAAGTAGTACTTTTGGATTAGCGACAGGCAGTTACTTTTTCGCTTTTTTGTCTAATCTTTGATGTGCATTGCGTTATGCGATAGTGGGCGTGCTGTGGGTGGGAATGAAGCAAACTCAAGATCCACCCAGGCTACGTCACTGTTATCACTGAGTGATATTGTTAACGATCATTATATTAATCCACACCCTAGAAGATTTACAATTAAGTCAATAAAAATAATAGATTGTAAATTCTATAATAGATTCTAAAAACAATAAAAACCTACTTTTTTCAAACTTTAATCGTTTCTTGTATCTATGTCGTCTAGAGTAGATAACATCCGGTATTGACGGGCTATATATATCAACCTCGTTTTTCCGTTTATTTGAATGTGACTTGTTTGGTTGAGGTTTATATTTAGACGAATAAACACCAGTTTTTATTCCCCTTTCCGTTACGTGTTGCTTTTCCTTTAATTCATTTATCAGCATTTTCCATATTTGGTCATCTGATAAGGTCTGAGCTCGTGTCGTCTGTTGATTCTCTGTTGATCTGGAAGTAGGCGACGTCACTGTTATTTGTGTAGAATTGTCGCCAATGTTTGGTTGCCAGAATTCATACTTTATTTCATGATGTCGTTGTCGATACAATAACTACAAAAAAAGATGATATCGATAGAATAACTACAAAAAAAAATGATATTTTTTATACTATTTTTAATCTTTGTAGATATGTTGAAATGAAGACAGGCATTCACTTTACCGTGTAGTTTGAGATCTATTTCCAGTGGCGGTTCCATCCCTTGATTGTGATCCTATTAATCGTGTAAATTTGCGCTTTTTGTTGATTGAGGTGATATGGCTGATTAAAATACAGATGTGACGTCACCCTTTGATGTTGGGGTACCATTATTTCAAAAAAAAGGTACGAACAATGTGCCAAGCGTACATTATTTATACTAGTTGAAATTTTGGACTCGCGTGACGTATTTCATTGCAAAGCACAAGCGAGTGTCTGTATTTTAAGTTGTTTAATGGTCTCGGGCTTAAGACATTGCGTAATATATTCTAACATCTCGGACTGACGTCCCTCGTATTGTTTCAATATATTACCTAATGTCTCGCTCTCGACCATTAAACCACACATAATGTACAGGATGACGTACTCCCAATATAAGTAATGTACAGGATGACGTACTCCTAATATAAGTAATGTACAGGATGACGTACTCCTAATATACGTAATGTACAGGATGATGTACTTCCAATATAAGTAATGTACAAAATGATGTGCTGCCAAAAAGTAATGTACAGGATGACGTAATACAGGGTATGTGTTTGAAATATAACATAGTGTATATGGATAAGATATAATATAGGGTATATGAATCAGATATAACATAGGGTATGTGTATGAGATATAATATAGGGTATATGGCTGAGATATAACATAGCGTATATGTATGAGATATAACATAGGGTATATTCATGAGATAAAACATTACCATTATATGTACATCTTCTGTTAGAGGTCCTTCACCTTCAAATAATTCACCGAAGGTTCCCGATCGTAAATATAAAACTGATGTTCCTGATACGTTATAATTACCAGATTGACTTAAATTACGGTTACCATTGATGATAAAATGGTGGTCATTGTCCATCAAGGCTGAAATATAATGTAAAATGGTGGTTATTTTCATTCAGGGCTGAAAATTATATTAAATTCTAAAATTAATAATTGGGCTAAATCTATTTTAAACCCAATAAAAAAATAATTATTATATAAAAAAAAACAAAGCAACCGTTTCACTTTCTTACAATATGACTTGGTCTTCAACATCAAATTTGTCGGTTTTATCTTAAAACTCCAATTTTAATAATGTTATGGAACCCATTATGGATCTGATTTCACTATATATCTGATTTCACTATTTATCTGATTTCACTATATATCTGATTTCACAACTAAGCATTCTATATGAATATCAAAGATTACAATAGCGTGTCACGTTCTTATCTCGTTATACTGTAGACCCCACGGTGGCCTAGCTAGTAGGACGTTGGTTCGCGAATCCGGAGGTCCCGTGTTCGACCCCTACGCATTTTTGCTTCGAAAACACACGCGAAAGGGCCACAAAAACGCGTACATATAAACCAGGCCTTGAATATATGAATATTAGAGGTTATTACAAAGGGAGAGAGGTAGAGAGAAATGGGGTTTAACGTCCACTCGACAGAAAGTACGTCATTTCGGGAGTAACATATGGTTCAATTTTATTTCAATAATTCGCTTGCGCGTATGGGTCTTTAGCTGTGGAAGGATGTGGGCGGATACTACCACAAAGGACCAATCCACTATTGTGGCCCCGCCTTTAGCATGCTATCCAAATATCAGAGTTTACGATAACGTGTCATGTTATATTCTCTTTATACTACAACTCAAACCTTTGTTTATTTTATCGATATGAAATCCTTTAACACAGAGATAAAGGAGTGTTGTTGAACTCACCAATATTATTCCTGCTGTTGTCTAAGACTTTGAAATGTCTGGATCCTCTTGGTATTGTCACAATTCTATAATAACCCGGAAATTCTGTCAATATAAAAGATACAGTGTAGAATGTTATGCAAACTCGGTGTATTGTTACAAGGAACTCGTCATATTTCCTCTTTTCTGTTTAATCGACAGCGAGGTATTTATCTAGTATTGTATTTCAAAATCTCCGCAATCTACAAATTCAAGGCGCGGCAAATTGTGTTAAATAAACGAAATGATCAAAGAAGAAGACAAAAAACAAACAGTCAAATGAAAATACTTTTCACATTAATGGAAGTACAATTACTGGTTTATTAAACATACATTATGCAAGAGCTAAATCTGTCTATTGCAGGTCTTTCTTTAGGCCTGAAATGTTATCTAAATTATTAATTAGACATTAATTAACTTATCCAGTCTAGCCTGTGATATTTACTGAATTAGGATCCGATTTTCTGCTCAACTTTCATTTATGATTAAATCATGAAATGGATAATCAAGACTATGTTTTTTATCGTACAGACTTTAGTAATGATGATCGAGGCTACACTGAAAATTCAATCGCTAAATTCTCGGTTCAGAGTGGATCAATTATCACTAAATTCCTTTTACATTATGTAGTTTTTAACTGCCAGATCTTTATCTATTCTCCCCATAATGTATCTTTAACATGCAGCGTTTCGACAATGGTACTCTCGTCGTTATCAAGCAAATGATAAATACTCAGGTTCGAAATATAGACAATTGGTTGTCTTTAATACAGAATTTGCAGGGGCCGATCGCTGATCTCGACATATCCGTAGTCTTCGAGAAAACCGGGTTCGCGATAACAACCCTTAACTGTACTGTTATTAAACTATTACTATTACGTCTCGGGTGATGCTACAAAGCCAGTTTAATTACATATACCGCAGGCAATCAATCTAAATGAAATATGTTTTTTTATCTGTATCTTGCGTCTAGTTTACCACGTAAATGAGGATAAGGTAAAGGAACTATATTGTAATCTGTAATCTACCCAATTTTTTCTAATAGAATTGTGAAATTGGAACAGGATACACGCCAAGGGAATACATTGAATACATATAGCTAGTTGTGAAACTGGAAGAGAATCCATGCCAAGGGAATTCATTCATTACTCATAGCTATGATAATGAAATATGGGTTAACGTCCTTCGTTATTTAGTGCACAACCGGGATAATGCTATTAGACAAATGCAAAGGAACCTTTAATAGACGCGCCAACGTGAACACGACACCGCATACTTTTATACTCCGCAACGACTAGACGTCGTAGACTGCCAGGCCCTCAGTCCTGCAGCACCGAGTAACTTTCCGGAGTATGATTTTATAAACTAAAAACTCTACCTAAACCATTCACCCGTGCTCTTTCGTTTTGAACTTTGAGAACAAGACACTCGCGACAATTATCCAATTTTGTACGTGGAAAGGTCAGATGAGTCATTCTTTACCATAAAAGCACCGAGTCGCTTTGATATTTGCCTGTAAATTAATCACCCGGCGTAGAAAAAAATTGCTTCAATTGGATTTTCTTCTCGTTCCTTTTTATCTTTTCTATCAGTATACGCATTACACAAGATAATCCCGCTATCTACTTATCGCTTCAGAGAAACACTTGTCGGTTTTAACTTGAATGAACACGATGATTGCTAGTCAAGTACTTCACGGGATCAGTTAACTACTTGTTCCTGTCAACTACACTCTCATTTTCAATCGTATCAATAAATATCGATTAAATCAATCAATTATCGGAAGCTAAATTATTAGTTTTCTGTACAAATAAAAGCATGGGTAATCTTTTTAAAACACCATGACGCAATAAACCCTGGTTGAAAGAATTGAAAATGATTGTATTTGATTATATGTTTCTCTCGCACGCGACTCTTCGTTAATCCAACCCTTAGTTGATAATTAGCAACCAGGTTCTCTTTTTTTACTTGGTAATCACCGTCTTTTTCAGGCGTCGGTTGTCAAATAAACGCCAATTCCAGATACGAAACTTACCATGCTTGTTCCTTTGACATTTGTGGATCAATCGATTGACGGACTTCATTTTCTATATGGCGGCATAATTCCAAGATGACTGCGCTGATGTCATTCTTTGATTTTTGTTCATATAGTACGGCGATACTTGTGAATGGGCTTTTTTAAGAATGTCATTTTTATGAGGCATAATGTGGTCCCAGATTTGATGGCGGTGTTGGCCTAGAAAATTCCTTTGCGAATAGCAAAGTAGCATATGTCTTCATTAGCCCAGGCGAAGCATAAGAAGGTCGTTAAACACCATTCCATTTCATTTTATGGAAACCAACAAGGTAAGATGCTCCGTGGCACAACAAAGTATGAACAAGTTGCAGCAGAAATGATAGAGTTTCCATTCATACACAATTTACGTTTTGGTGTTTTCTCTGGAACATTGTAATACACCAAAGTACATCGTATGCCTCTCTTTATTTACCTGTATCGTTTTGATATTTACTTGTATTCCTGTATATATTTACTTGTATATCTATATATATTTACCGGTATCGTGTTGATATTTACCTGTATACCTGTTTATATTTACCGGTGTCGTGTTGATATTTACCTGTATACCTGTTTATATTTACCGGTGTCGTGTTGATATTTACCTGTATACATTTCTATATTTACCTGTGTCCTTGTCTTTATTTACCTGTATACCTTTCTATATTTACCTGTGTCCTTGTCTTTATTTACCTGTATACCTTTCTATATTTACATGTGTCCTTATCTTTATTTACCTGTATACCTTTCTATATTTACCTGTGTCCTTGTCTTTATTTAACTGTATGCCTGTCTATATTTAACTGTATCGTGTTGATATTTAACTGTATGCCTGTCTATATTTACCTGTATCGTGTTGATATTTACCTGTATACCTGTCTATATTTACCGGTATCGTGTTGATATTTATCTGTTACCGGTCTATATTTACCTGTGCCCCGGTCTTTATTTAACTGTATACCTGTCTACATTTACCTGTGTACCTATCTTTATTTACCTTTATCATGCCTTGGGAAGCGAGACATGACCGTTTTCTGTATAAATGTACAGGTATCATTTTTTCCGTCACAAATTCCACACATGTCAACTTTAATAGGTGATTCTATAATACCATCACATCCAACACGCTAAAACATACAAAAGAATATAACGCCATCACATCCAACAGGCTTAAACATACAAAACAATATAACACCATCACATCCAACAAGCTTAAACATACATAACATATAACACCATCACACCCAACAAGTTTAAACATACAAAACATATAACACCATCACATCCAACACGCTAAAACATACAAAACATATAACACCATCACAACCAACAAGCTTAAACATGCAAAACAATGAACACTATCACACCCAACACGCTCAAACATACAAAACATATAACACTATCACACCCAAAAGGGGAAAACAAAGAAAAAATCATTATTATTCACCAAGAAAGCCATTTAGCAGACGACCACCGCCAAGACCGATTGCATCATTTCTATTTAGATTTAGTCTTTCTTGTATTCAATGCTAATTGTTCTCTCCTTCATTATTTTTCATTTTGTGGGAAGCCTGAATCACTACAGGTCTGTAATTTTACAGCGCAGTGGCTCCTTACGACTGGCCCCCCGCGGGATCCATTCACTTCATTTCATATAATACGTTGTTTATAACTTTGGAGGGGGGGGGGGGGGCTATGGCCGAATGGTTAGCACGTGCGTGCGCTGTATCATAAGGCCTGTCAATGAGACAACAGGCGTGGTTTCGATTCCACGATTGTACGTGACAAGGAGTAGGGTCGCCTGTCCAAGTCCATCTTCATGGGTTTTCTTCGGGTCCTCCGGTCCCCCCCCCCCCCACTGCTCAACACCCCTACGCGCAAGCGAATTATTGAAATAAAATTGACCATGTGTTAGTCCCAAAATGACCTAGTTGTGTCGAAGGGACGTTACACACACACACTCTCTCTCTCTCTCTCTCTCCATCTCTCTTCTCCTCTCTCTCTCCCTCTCTCTCGCTCTCGCTCTGTTTATAGCTTGCAATTTCTGTGTAATTTATATGTCACACTGTCAGGATAGTTTTCTAATGAGTTTTATTTACGTCTAGGCCGGACCTCCTACACTAACTATCAAATATCACATGTAGCCATAGGAATATTGTGAATGATAAAATATTTTACAATGTACAGAGTCATTTTTTTTATGACATATTAAATTATGTACAGAAAACAAGAAACTTCAGTAACCACGTGGCGTCCAAATTGGGTAATACAGTAATAGCGGGCGTGCTAATCTTCGCTAACACGGCATTTATTACTGTGCACTCTCAAACCAATTGAAATGAAATGAAATTAAAGGAAACAGGGTTTAATTTCGTACTTTCTTGCACCACCCGGGCTAATGAACACCGTCATGCCATGAGGGACATTTTGCCTAGAAGGTACCGTTTTCGTCCATTTTTGATCGAATTGTAAATGTTACGAGTTATTTTCCGTGCACGACTAAGCCCCTGTTTTTCGTCCCAGCCGAACGACTAGACACTGTTCATCTAAACGCGGGTGTTCGATCCCTGCAACGGCCGAGAAAGTTCATCCAGATTTTCCGGCGTGGTTCCCCCTTGCCAGTGATGCAGGAAGGAAGGCCTGGCAAGGACAGCTGTCTAGTCGTTCGGATGGGACTTGCACGTAACAGATCCCTTGACAGTTGGAATTCGATATAAGAGTAGGCCGTAGTGCCGCTGTCCGGACAAAATTTCCCTCATATAGCAAACTGTATGGCGTAAGCCCAGTTCGAAGCAGAACAGCAGTAGCACGTTAAACCCCATTTCATTTCATTTCATCTAAACGGTTGTTCACAGTTATGTTTTCCGTGGTATTAGAGGTTTCGCCAGATCATACATTTCTAATATTTAAACATACATTAAATTATTAATTAGACATTAATTAACCTAACCTATCCTGACCATAATCACCTGTAGATGACATCGCTAGCCTGCGATGTTTATTGGATTGTGAGCCGATTTACTGCATAACTTTCCTTCACGATTTAACGATTAAATGGACATTCGAGACTATGCTGTTTATCGTACCGACTTTAGTAATGATGATCGAGGCTAGGCGGAAATTACAATCGCTTAGTTCTCGGTTCATAGTGGATCAACATGAATTAAATTTTCAGCAAATTGCCTTTACATTATCTAGTTTTTAAGAGAACTGCCAACTCTATCGAATCTCCCATAATGTATCTTTAAGTATACTAGCCCTACCTTACAGATACCTTCTATACAGACATAGTAGCCAGTTGTACTACATCTAGTACCATCTTGTACCTGACCAAAATTATAATAATTACTTCTTACATCAGCCTGACAATTTAACTCACATGGTCTATCTGTATAATATAGAAAAAATATACAATCATTGTCATGGTCTAACTGTATAATATAGACAAATATACAATCATTGTCATGGTCTATCTGTATAATATAGACAAATATACAATCATTGTCATGGTCTATCTGTATAATATAGACAAATATACAATCATTGTCATACAAACTATACATAGCTACACTACACTTTAGGTTGCAATGGCCAATCAGACTATATGTGACCTAAATTTATTTCCTAATTTCTGTATTTTAAGCAACTTGGACTAACAAATGCTATAAGGATTAACAAATGCTGTATTTTAGACAACTTAGATATTGAACTAACACATGCAGTATTTTAGATACCAAAATCACACTTGAAATCATTTTTGGCCATGGATAAAATATTGGAGTCCTACCCCAGTTCCTCCCTTGACTAACATTCCCACCCCAGTTCCGTCCTTGACTAACACTCCAACCAGTTCCTTCCTTGACCAACATTCCACCCAGTTCTGCCTATGACTAACATCCCACCCAGTCCCTTCCTTGACTAGCACGCCACCCATTTCCTTCCTTAACTAATTACATTCCACCCAGTTCCTTCCTTGAATAACATTCCGCTCCAGTAACTTGAGATACCCCCCCCTGGGATCGAAGTGTCCCCTGTTTGAGAACCATTGCCTTGGATTTCAAGTATTGCTGTTGTTACCTTTACAATGTTTTTCGTTTTTTTAATTATTCGTGTATTTTGAGAGTTTAATTGCTGCCATGTGACCACCCTTGTAAACTAAATAATGTTTACCTTTAGAGTAAACTGGTTTCCATGTCAACGCTTTTCTTCCCAGAAATGGTTTCTTACTCAATGACTTACACTGTTCTTCTCTGTAGTCACGTGATTCACTTGGACATTTCTAAACAAACACAGAAACATGATTAACTTCCGCTGAAACATCACACTAATGACAACTAGAAAAAAGATGGGCATACCGATCCTATCATAATCCCCGTCTAGACATTGGAGGGGAGGGTGGGGGGGGGGGGCAATGGTTAGCGCGTGCGTGCTGTACCGTAAGTTCTGTCATTGAGTCAACTGGCGTGGTTTCAATTCCCCGGTTGTACGTGACAAGGAGTAGGGACGCCTGTCCAACCTCGTAGGTTTTCTCCGGGTCCTCCGGCTCCTCTCACTGCTAAAGACCCCTACGCTCAAGTGAATTATTGAAATAAAATTGAACCATATGTTAATCCCAAATTGACCTAGTTTGTGTCGAGTGGACGACAATACCATAGTTCGGACAAAATTCTCTTCTCTCATTGAACATGTAACCATAAAGATAAACATATTATTTGTCTCAAAATTCTATTATCTTTAAAGAACACACAAAAAACCCCCTTGCATTTCATTCTGTTCACTTTAAAGGAGCTAAATCGCTATTATTTGGCACCTGGAGAAAGAGAGAGAGAGAGAGAGAGAGAGAGAGAGAATTGGGGTGGGGTTTAACGCCCACTCGACACAAACTAGGTCATTTAGGGACTAACATATGATTCAATTGTATTTCAATAATTCGCTTCCGCGTAGGGGTCTTTAATAGTGAGGGGAAACCGGAGATTGGACCGGTGAGCCTATTCCTTGTCACGTACAACCGGGAAATCGAAACCACGCCAGTTGACTCAATGACATACCAAATGATACAGTGTGCACGTGCTAACCATTCGGCCACCCCCTCCACCTTTTAGAGAACAAACATTAGGTGATATTTTTAATACACTTTAAAGAACAAACAATATGATATCGTTTTTATATACTCACTTTAAAGAACAAACAATATGATATCGTTTTTATATACTCACTTTAAAGAACAAAGATTATATTTGTGATATACTCACACGTTTTGAACAAACTTTATAACCAATGTTTGTTCCTTCACAGGCCGTCAGATGAGTTCTAGCAAAAAATTCACCCGTCCACACCAGACATTTACGAGTTCGTATCTTGATTCCTTCTCCGCACGTTCTGGAGCACGGTCCCCAGAACGACCAATTATCCCAGATGATCGGATGGTGCCATTTCTTGGGTCCGGATTTTGTGGTCGTTGATGGAGTTTGTGATGTCAGTTCGGGCAAAGTTGTACCGTAATTATCTTTTGTTCTTGGTGATGAGGAAGCTTGAATAATTACAGTAGGGGTAGTTGTTGTTTTCGGGATTGCGGAGGAATTCTTTACAGATGGTTCGATGCCGTCTTGCCCGTAAGTGATGTTACTGTATGGAGAAGGTGCATCAGTAGTATTATCAAAACTCTGGGTAAAGTTGTCTATACATGCAATGCACGATATCTGAAAAACACCAAACAACTCCATAGAATTATATTCACAAATTATTCAAAATTTAAAAAGATAGGTTGCCAGGCAACGAAACATACGCCCACAGGAACTAAATCGTCCGGGCAGTCAACAAGGGTTGTCGCATGTTTTTACTTTTTTCGGTAATGAAACATTTATAATACACTAAAATCTGATTAAGAGCAACAACTCACGAAGTAATTATCAGAAAACCTATTAGAATTTGTTTGGTTTTATAAAGTTCTGCCCCATGCTAACGTTTTGTATGCAAAGCTTTTAATATCATAGATTTAACTGTTCAAGTCATAAAAAATCATTGAAAATCAATATACTTGTTCGTCTCAATATCTTAAACTCTGTGTACCAATCTGAAGTCAATCGGATGATAACTTAAGGGCCATAGCTTTGTTGAAATCGTTGAAAATCAACAGGAATCTTTGTCTAATGACCTCAAACACTGTGTATAAATTTAAACTCAATCGGATATTAACTTGAGCCTCAAGAGCATCCACAAGATTTTTTGAAGTGATCAAGGGCCATAACTCTGGCAGTAATTATCGGAAATCGCTGAAAATCAATAGGCTTCTTCGTCTCATGACCTTAAACACTGTGTATAAATTGAAAGTCAATCGGATATTAACTTTGGCCTCTAGAGCATCCACAAGATTTTTCAAAGTGATCAAGGGCCATAACTCTGGCAGCAAATATTGGAAATCGCAGTAAATGGCAGTAATTATCGGAAATCGCTGAAAATCAATAGGCTTCTTCGTCCAATGACCTTAAACACTGTGTATAAATGTAAAGTCAATCGAATATTAACTTTCGCTTCTAGAGCATCCACAAGATTTTTCAGAATGATCAAGGGCTTTAACTCTGGCAGTAATTATCAGAAGTCGCTGAAAACCAATAGGCTTCATCTTATGACCTTAAACACTGTGTATAAATTTAATGTCAATCGGATGTTAACTTTAGCCTCTAGAGCATCCACAAGATTTTTCAGAGTGATCAAGGGCCATAACTCTGGCAGTAATTATCAGAAGTCGCTGAAAACCAATAGGCTTCATCTTATGACCTTAAACACTGTGTATAAATTTAATGTCAATCGGATGTTAACTTTAGCTTCTAGAGCATCCACAAGATTTTTCAGAGTGATCAAGGGCCATAACTCTGGCAGTAATTATCAGAAGTCGCTGAAAACCAATAGGCTTCATCTTATGACCTTAAACACTGTGTATAAATTTAATGTCAATCGGATGTTAACTTTAGCCTCTAGAGCATCCACAAGATTTTTGAAAGTGATCAAGGGCCATAACTCTGGCAGTAATTATCGGAAATCGCTGAAGATCAATAGGCTTCTTCGTCTCAAGACCTTAAACACTGTGTATAAATTTAAAAGTCAATCAGATATTAAATTTAGCCTTTAGAGCGTCCACAAGCAATTGTGGACGCCGGACCGACGGACGGACGGTCGGACCGACGGACGGACGGACGGACGGACGGCCGGACCGACGGACGAACGGACGGACGGGGGCGACGACAATATACGACCACATTTCAATGTGGGCGTATAAAAAGGTAGGTAACACTTTCTGTACGTTCTGTGAGTCAGATACAGGAACTGTAAAGCACCTCTTTGTGTTATGTCCATTCTAACATATAATATGAAACCGTTATAATACTGTTTTAGATCGCAGTGATATAAAAATAATATAACAACACATATCAAGCATCTTGGTCTAAATGAAATGAAATGGGGATTGACGTCCTATTGTTCCGCTCCTACTGGGCTAATGAAGATGGACATATGCCAAGCAGTTTGTTATGAGGGGAATTTTGCCAGGATAGCGGCAATACCTCCTAATCGAATTCCAACTGTCAAAGGATCTTTTACATACACGTCAATGTATACACAGCCCGATCCAAACGACTAGACAGCTGTCCTCCATAGCGCACCACTGACAAGGGGAAACCACGCCGGAAAATGCCGATAAGCGTTTTCTAGGCCAACGCAGGGATCGAACACGTGAACTTCGGGCTCATCTTGGTCTAACTAACAACCCCTAATAAATATATATATAATTAAAACTGAATGGATCTTAATGGTAATTATTTTAACTACATATTATTTTCCTCGTTAGACGTGGTAACTAGAGGAAGAGTATTTGCTTATTGTTGTGTACGGGCTTTCGTAGAGTACTTGTAAATAAAATAACATTTGTCTGAATGCTTCACATTAGACGACACTTGTTGACACGTCACGATTATTTATTGGGGCAAATAATTCAACTTATTTAAAATAATGGAGGAATTTTTGTATATTTGTATATTATGTAAATGTTTTTTTTTGATGTAGCTTGTATTTGGTTATTGTAAATAAGGATAATTTCTAGTGTCGCCATAACGTCCCATATTGTTTTATGTTATTTGTTGGTTGTCTTCCGCAGTACATGGTTTACAAGGTTATTTGTTGATTGCTCTCTACAGTACATGGTTTCTAATAAAATATACAGGAACATAATATGATCTATATATTAGGTTATAGTCATAATGGCTAGCGTGGTAATTCACGTCCACCTCCGCCGTCCTTTGACTGTCAAATATATATATCATGTTATAATGGTAAATGTGTTACCATTTATAACCTTATTAATGTTTAACTTCAAAATTTCTCAACATATTACTAGAACAGGATATACAGATAAACCAAATAACACCAAATATTCTGTCTCGGGTTAATCAAGTCTTTCATGTTTTGTTGAAATTATATCATAGTCCCAATCGTGCACCTACAGCGAATATGGGCCTACACATAGTTTTAATTCGTACTATCCGGGGGGAGGGAATTGTGTATTGTCAGACCTTTTGGTCTGTGAGAGGGGGGTCTATTGTCAGACCGTTTGGTGTGTGAGAGGGGTCTATTGTCAGACCGTTTGGTGGGTGAGATGGGGGTCTATTGTCAGATCGGTTAATCGGGTGGGATTGGTCTATTGTCAAACCGGTTGGTCGGTGAGAATGGTCTATTGTCAGACCGTTTGGTGTGTGAGAGGGGTCTATTTTCAGACCGTTTGGTGGGTGAGATGGGGGTCTATTGTCAGACCGTTTGATCGGTGAGAATGGTCTATTGTCAGACTGTTTGGTCGGCGGGAGTGGTCTATTGTCAAACCGTTTTGTCGGTGAGAATGGTCTATTGTCAGGCCGTTTAGTGGGTGGGAGTAGTCTATTGTCAGTCCGTTTAGTGGAATGGGATTGATCTATTATCAGACCGTTTGGCGGGTGGGGTGAGGATGGTCTATTATCAGACCGTTTGGCGGGTGGGGTGAGGATGGTCTGTAATCAGACTGTTTGGTGGGTGAGATTGGTCTGTTGTCAGGCCGTTTGGCATGTGGGAGTGGTCTATTGTCAGACCGTTTGGTGGGTGGGAGTGGTCTGTTGTCAGACCGTTTGGCGGGTGGGAGTGGTCTATTGTTAGAAGGTTTCGTGGTCTATTATCAGACCGTGGGTGGGATTGGTATGTTGTCAGACCATTTAGAGGGTAGGGCATTTGCATTCGGAAAATTCATCAATCGGGACCCCTTTGACCTTAAATCTAAAACTTGTCAATTTAAAAAACCCAACAAACTTAAAGGTTAAAAAAGCATAAATTCCTAATATCCTAATAAACAACCCATTTGATCGGATTTTTGGCCAAAGGACGACGCGGGAACACAATACAGCAGTAGACGTGTGACAAATCTGTATGCTTATAGACCCCAGTGAGCGTGTTGAACCAACTATGTCACTTCCGGTTTAATAAAAATTAATTTCTCGCTTACAAAAACTTTTTATCGTTGGTCTTCCCCTTTAAGCTTATTTTAGACATTCACAAGGCGTTCCTAATCTAATACATTGATTACTCTCAAATGGAAAGAATAATTTTTAGAAGATGTATTTTATATTCAAATTTACTTGAAAAATAAATATCGTTCTTTTTTCTTTTGTAAAAACAGAAGACAGTTATGAATGGAAACGTCTGGCATAAAATAAATATAATTAGTTTTAAAACTCATTTGAACCTCCAGAAATCTATAATCTCGGTTACACAGACACGTATTTCAGCATCAATTTAAATTTACATACCATATTGTATTTATAACCATTATTAAATCTCGTCCGGGGTTTTAGAAAAAATGGAAATGTTGATTTTATTAAACATACATTATGCAAGAGCTAAATCTGCCTATTTCAGGTCTTTCTTTAGACCTGAAATGTTATCTAAATTATTAATTAGACATTAATTACCTTATCCAGATCATAATCAACTCTCGATGCCATCGCTAGCCTGCGATGTTTATTGGATTAGGTTCCGATTTCATGTTCGACTTCCATTCATAATTTATTCATTAAATGGATAATCGAGACTAGGCCGAAAATTTAAAAGCTAAAATCACCTTATCCAGACCATAATCAACTCTCGATGCCATCGCTAGCCTGCAATGTTTATTGGATTAGGTTCCGATTTCATGTTCGACTTCCATTCATAATTTAATCATTAGGCCGAAAATTCAAAAGCTAAAATCTCAGTTCAGGGTGAAACAATTCCCTTTACATTATCTAGTTGTTAACTATTATAGTGAGAATTATCTAATCTCCCATAATGTATCTTTAAATCTAATGATTAGTTGTTTTTTTTCTTTATATAATGGATATCAATTAACTGTAATGGAATGAAATGTGGTTTAAATTCCTTCTTTATTTCTGTACTAATGAAATGAAATGGGGTTTAACGTTCTGCTGTTATGCTCCGGCTGAGTTAATGAAGACGGGCATACGCCATACAGTGTGCTATGGGGGAAATTTTGCCCGGGCAGCGGCGCTATATATGTGTGGCTACGGCCTAATCTTATATCAAATTCCAACAAGGGATCTTTTACCTTCACGCCAATGTGTGCACGGGAACGAACGACTAAACATCTGGTCTTTATGTTGTTTAATGGTCTCGAGCTAAAGACATTTTC